AAAACCACCCTCATAACTCCGTTCAGAGAATCGCTTGGCAGATTTGAAAAGCGGATTTGAATTCAGCGCCCAAAAACACGTCTAGCAGTATAGGTCTTATTAAAAATGGCCACTTCGAGTTGGGATCCTTCCCTGGTCAGCTCAAGTCTACGGCTGCGTGGTGCTCTTTGCTTCACCGACTGAGATGGATGCCGTGCTTCGCTGCGATAGTCAGACGAGGCTCCTGCAACTTTCGAAGGCTATTGCAGCAGTCTCTCTACGTCTTGCTTCTTCTTCACAACTCGCTGGACTTCATGGTTCTAGAACAACATCGTGACTCAGCCAGTGTTTTTACTGCACTTGAAAACGATCTTCACAGCATCGCTCAAAGTTTAGGTATGGCGTATGATGCAGTTGAATTGTAATTCTCGCTTTGCGGCGAGAGCGACGTTGCGCACGAAGGAATGTAGCAGAATGAAGCAGAAGCGGCACAGCGAGTAAGAAAGAAGGAACGGTGGAATCATACCAAAAATAATAACCTAGCTGTATGGACGCTAGAAGTGCAGTAACGAGGCAACTAGACTGCAACCGCCGCAAAACCAATTCTTCGCCAGGCAGTACTTTGATGTGTTGCAGTCTTGAGAAACGATCTTCTTATGAGCACATAGTCGATTTCCAAATGTCTTCCTCCACTGCTATAAGTTATCTTCTTGGCTTAATTTTTCGTGAAGAACATGCTCAGACAGATAGGTCGTGGGCTGTGCCCAAGTCTAGAGACCTGCCCTTTTCTTCCTTCGTGACTCCTATTTCCTTGCCTCCGTGAATGTCTTCGTAGTTGTTTCGTTCACTCCTAACTTGGCCATTGAAAACACCATCAAAATGAGTTCCCTACGGATCTGATCTGATGGATTCGTTAAGGCACAGATAGATATCATTTTCTTCGCACTCTGAACAGCCTACTTGCTATGAGTACATGGGTTTTATTATACTGATCCCCCTCTTTGTGTCTAACCTCACATCCGTGATTTGAGCACTGATACCAAGGACGACATAAACAAAAATTTCAAGAGTTTCTGCGACTGCTACGGTTACGCTGTTTTTTCTGGTGCCTGGAGCTTCACGCCTTCCCCAGTTCTCTGGCCTTTGTTTCGTTCCTGCTTTTTTCCTCAAGAGACAGGACTTCGATATCACGGAGCGCAAAGCTCGCGTTGAGGTTCTGCGCATGACTTCCTTGCTTGATGTGACTGTTTCTGAGACGTCTTTCTCCATGCGTCAGTTGTCCTTCCGTCGGCCCCTTCACCTGGATTTGCCGCTGTTAGCGACAGCATTCTTGCGAATTCTGCAGTCTTTGCACCACCTTATCAAGGTCGCGACATCCTGAGCGCTGACACAAATCAAAATTTTCAGATACTCCTCACCTTCCTCGTTCAATGACTTTTTTCCTTTCAGGAATAATAAGCTACGAGGCGAGAAAGGTGAAAAAATGTGGACGGCAAGCAGCGCATTGTTCTTCGCCGCCACAACAATGGCCACCATCGGTACGTCACTTACTTTAAACTCTCTTCAATTCGAATCAAATAGTATCTTCCCGTTCTCCATAGCCTTACAGCAAATTTTCGTTGTCCACCAAACATTCACATGAGTATGCGTCCCTATTTTTCTTACACAGGGGTCTATTGCTCAGGTACCAGGAAATTCAAGAAATATTCTTCTTGAAAGGTCTAATCTCTTTCTGCCAAGAATCCCCACTGATGTTAGTTCATTCAAGTTCATTGGATCTGAGAAATGAAGTGGGAGTTAACGCTGATACCACATGTTATCAAGTCTTACGTACAGTAGCGGTTAAAAGTCTTCGGGGAAACGCTTCTCCAATCGTGACCTCTTTTCTAGAAAAAGGATTCAAGAAAAAAATTTGTTAGTTAAAACCTCACTTTAAATCAAACCGATTTATACTTTTTAGCTTCGGAAGGCATTTTCTCAGCGATAACTCGATTTTTGCATCCCATTTGTTCGACGACGTTAGTTCTTGTACACTCAAGGCACCATAAAAGAAAGTGGTCACACAGTGAGCTCGGCTGGAAGGCAGCAGTACACATGAAGGAATTGTGCATGAAAGTCACGGTCATTTTAAGACTTTTGAAGGACCACAGCAGAGATTTCTTTGGTCATCCAATGCTAGCAGGTCAAGAACTCTGCTTGTAATGCTTAGAGAGCGGAAAGACTTCGATGTGCCTAACCAGCCCAGGACAGAGAGATAACGCTTCGATCAAGGGCTGTCCCTCGCCTCAGTGCGGCTGACAATGCCGCTGAGTTCAGCGCTAGCGATGGCACCATTGCTAGACGGCAGACTGTAGGAAGACACCGAAAAATGCTGGTAGATATAGTAGGCGTCCAGCCAAAAAGCCGTTCATCAGTCCAGAAAGTAGGAGAGCTAGAGTGGAGTCTGCGCGCTGTCACATTAACTGGACGTTGTCTGATTGTAGTGTTGTTCCTTTTGCAGATGAAACCAAGTTCAATATGGTTTGGGGGCCACGGTAAACGGTGCAGCCGACGTCCACCTGAGGGAAGTTTAATGCAAATGCACCCTACCCACAACCAAAAATGGTGGAGGTGGTGTGACGGTATGCAGTGCCTTCCTCTCGAACTGAGTGGACCATTTTTTGAAGCTATACAATGATAGGGGAGTACTAAAGGAACCTGACGGCCGAATCCTCTTGCCGTGGGTACATTACCACATGCTAGCAGGGTAGATCGTACAGCAGGAAAACGATCCGAGTCACATTTAGCAGTTGTAAAGGCGGCCTTTGGCGAACATCGAACAAGAATTCTGGAGTGGCCAAGCCAGTCATCGGGTCTGAATCTTATAGAGCACATGTGGGGAGAGCTTGAAAGGCGTTTTTTTGAACAAACTTTGTAAAAACAGTAAAGAAAAATTTGCTCAATAATCATGGGAGCGAATGTCATGCCAATATCTACCATTCAAAAAGTAATAGACCGATGCCTTCCCATTGCGATGCTGTCAGCAGAAGTCGAGGCTTTCCTAGCAAATATCGATGTTTTTTGATGTCTTACATGTTGATTTTCAGAAATGAAGCGGTTTTTATAGGGTCTATGCCATCTGTACTTTCCGCTGAATTTGAGTTAAACTTCACTAAGGTACCGTAAGCAATAGCAAGTTGCAGTTTAATAGCGGCAACTATTTACGAATGTCTCCGATTATCATACTAAGACTTCGTATGTTTCTATGAAGTAGGAAAAAAGTTACACTAGGAAAAGCGTATCACCGAAGACTTATGACCGCTACTGTATATCTTGGAGTCTTAGATGTACCTGGTTTAATTGGTATCAGATTCGCCTGGGAATATAAAACACTGACGTATACATCGGCTGGCCAAAGGAATTCCCCGTGTATGTAGAACACATGTGCATTTACTACGTTACTACGGTCCTGAATGAAAGTCGAATGCGTGGCGCATCCCTTCGACATGGTCAATTAAGGTCCCAAGTTTTTATCTTTTATTCATTGATGAACTAACGCTGTACCGTGGCCAAAAATCGAGGTTCCAAAACAAATATATCTTTGCAATTTGTTGATAAAATTACTGGTTGTGGTTACAATATTCTGGTGCCCTGCGAGGTTGTTAGGCGGAACTTTTATTAATCAAACGGCTCAACTTTTCGACGTTCTCGTCGTCTTCAGAGGCCTAAAGCAATTCGAGACATTTGCACAGCATCCAAAAAGCGCATTACCCCCTGGCGAATGTGACGGCGAATTCAAAACCCATAATTTGAAACATAACTCACCAAGGTTCCACCGCTCAAGTGGAATAAAATCCACTGTCGCCACAAGCGACTGTCATTAGCGAATGAGACTTATTGGCTGTCTCCCATATGATGATAAGGAAGATCAATTATGATGATAAGGAAGACCTTGTGATAAGGAAGATCACGTTATAATGCTACTGAGTCACAAGTCGCAGTGCGGTATACATATATGGCAAAAGATCGTTGGTTATGGACGGGCACTCATCTCTACCGTTCATTTTAGGATTTCTTTTGAAATTTTGAAATTAATTTGAAATTTATTGGTTGTGATTTTTATCCAGCCTTTTGAATGAGTGTTTTGATGACTCAAATAAATTTTTCTATGTGATTAGGTATCTATGTCATTCATTTTTTTTCATCAAGCCTTCATAGGGAAAAGTGTAGGATCACAATGAGTATATGCCTTTTTCGGCATCTGTTAAAAAGCTATATGATTCCTCTACGTGAATGAGCTGGCAGAGCTTGCTATCAGAAAATAAAGCATGAGCTATTCAAGGTTATGGCAACATCGTACCAGCCACGTCGTCCGGTCGGATCGCTTGTGTGGTCTTCGCTTTGTTCGGAGCTCCTTTGGCTATCATCACTATTGGAGGTTAGTTTTAACAAAAACCTCAGTG